ATCACAAACATCTAAGATTGTCTTCTTTGCATATATTAGCCAAATTAAACAAATTGGGAATATATATTTTCAGAAATATACTGTATTAAAAATCAAATAGAAATTATTTTTAAATGGCTTAACTTGCAAAGCATATATTATCATTCCGTTGTATCAGTGTGAAAACTGAGTGCTCTGTAATTACCCATCTGCTTGTAATTGGCCCCAATGGTCATTAGATGGCTCTATTACTGTAGAGTTCAGATAACAGAGGCCCAGAGCTAAAGTATTACAAATGTGTTTGACATGCAAGAGTCAGGAAAAGCAGAGTCCAGCTAACATCCTTGCACATCTTTCTTTTTTCTCATAAGGTCTCCACTTCTATCCATTTAGTTGCCTGTGACTAAGATATAAATAAAAAAATCTCACAAGATTTCAACATAAAAGGATTAGGTCTATATTCATATAATCTTTTTATAATGTTGTTCATTGTGTAACTTTCAAAATGTATATTATGTAAGAAATTTAAGACTCAAAGGCAAAAGTGATGGGAGTGTTTTGTAAAGTTGTTCAATCCCACACTGTCAGTGATCAATAAATTGTAAATAGCAGAAATGAAGTTATAAATTCTACCATCTTATTTTGGCATCCTATAGGATGATAATGTTAATAATTAGATTTTAATCCCAACTCTTGTGAATAAATTCTGTGATAGCCTGCAGTCTGATACACAAAAGAAGTTTTCTTAGGTGCCTTCCAAGTATGCTGTTAGTTTTTGTTGTTACAAGATTCCAATCTATTACCGCTTTTAGTTTTTTCATGGAAATATGTGGCTTTGAATGAACTCAAGAAGCCAAAATCACTTAACTTGAAAAATGGATCAAAAGTAGAATTTCATTTTGTGTGGGTGGATATTTGGTTTTCTGAATCAACCAGCCAAGGTATTTTCTTAACAGTATAGTGACTGAGCTTTCTATAACCTTCTTTCTAGATCTGCTCTCAAACATAAGCATGTAGCCGAATCATTAAAACACAGATTGCTGAGTCCCACATCCAGATTTTCTGATTTAGTACAGCCATGAGCTGCATACCACATCTTGGTCAATGACCARCAGTATATATGACAGTGGTTCCATAAGATTATAATACAGCTAAAAAATTCCTGCCACCTAGTGACATCATAACCATAATAATGTTGTAGAATAACACATTAGTTATATGTAAACAAATCTAATATACTGCCAAAGTAACACGTAGATTATTAAGTACATATTCTGTATTASGTACAAAACACTTAATGATGATAAAGTACTGTTACTAGTTAATGTATCAACTCTACTATATATTTTATCATTATTTTAGAGTATACTCCTACATTGACTGTAAAATACCGTGCCATGTTACATTGGTAGTAGCCTCATATATCTTTGTTTACTATGTGTCCTTTTTTTTGGTACCAGGGATGATTGAACCCAGGGACACTTAACCACTGAGCCAYATCCCCAGCCCTTTTTGAGACCAGGTCTTATTGAACTGCTTAAAGCCTCACTAAATTGCTGAGGTTGGCTTTGAACCTGCGATCCTCCTGCCTCAGCCCCCTGAGCTGCTGGGATTACAGGAGTGCACCACCACACCTGGCTCAATATTCATGTCTCACAAGTTTCCAGGTGATACTGATGTGGCTGGTCCTGGGACCACACTTTGACACCCAATACTTGAAGTAAAATTTGGACATGTAAATGGCCCTATAAATAATTTGCCATCAAGCCTTTATTGTTCATGTTTCCCACAAAGGAAGCATGACAGTCTGTTCTGTTGAGGTTGTTGAGGTTGAGGTTGTTGCACAACTTCCTAAATAATGTCAATTAAAAAAAAAAAACCTCGAAACTGTTAGAACAAACTCTTAGTAATAGCCTATTCATTTTGAAAATATTATTGTCTAAAGAAAAGCTCTGGGGGCTGGGGATGTGGCTTAAGCGGTAGCGYGCTCGCCTGGCATGCGTGCAGCCTGGATTTGATCCTCAGCACCACATACAAAGATGTTGTGTCCACCAAAAACTAGAAAATAAATATTAAAACTTTCTCTTTCTCCCTCTCTCTCCCCCTCCCTCCCTCCCTCCCTCYCTCTCTCTCTCTCTCTCTCTCTCTCTCTCTCTCTCTCTYTMAAAAGAAAAGCAAAGCTCTGGGTCCTGACGGAAACTTCAGTTTACATAGTACTCGTCATTCTGTTACACTTGGAAGCATGCTTACTCTAAAATAATCATTTGTGAGGCAATGACACTTATTCTTTTTTAACCAGAGGAAACAGAAATAACAACACAGGAAGCACTGGACAGCCTTGGGCCAGTTCTTTTTGGAAAACACATTTAATTCACTGTTGCACAACTCAGAGGAGGTGGTGAGGAAGTCAGGAAGGCACTTAAGTAATTTCAGGAAACTTAACAAACAGAAGTGTCTGGACAGTCTAGGAAGGACTGAGAGGTAAAGAACTGACTCCTGATACAGCAACTTCTCAGGAATGTTCAGTTTTCCAACTCTTGTCCACAGACCCTGAGACCGRACATAAAATTACCCCCAAAAGAGCTGGGTACAACCCCTTTGCACTATATTGTCTGATGCCAAAATACTATTTAGATGTTCACCCGATGCCAAAACTAACCCYTAGACTCCATCTGGCAAACAAGCAACACGGGTCTTCAAGGCCTACAAGCCTTGTCCCAGAAGCTCACACAAGAGTTCACAATATTTTTCAATCCTTGGAATACACTGCCTTCCTCTTTCCATAGGGTTTCTTCATGTAAACCATCCTATCTAAAGAAAATGTCCCACTATTACTCTCATAAAATCTCTCTTGATAGCCAAAGGTTATCACAATTAACTTCAGAACTTCTTGGATTTGTGCTCATCCTTCTCTTCCCTTATTTGTCCCTCTACATATTCCCATCTCTTACTGTGAGGGTAATTTACCAGTGAGAAAGGGCTCAGTCATCAGCCTCATTTGTAATTTCAAGGCTTATTCTCAGTGTTAACATCTGGATCAGCTACTTCTTATTGATATGCAAAATAACTAAGAAATAATAACTAAGTGAAACTTAAGTGCTACATCAGGAGACATACCTGCTAACAAAAGTTGGAGAAAGGGTTCTGAGATAAGATAGGATGAGGATGAGATTCTCATTGAGAAGAATGATAGGGATTAACATCTGCTCTTCCCAAAGCCAGGGCTCTCAGATCTTCCAACTAAAAAGCAAACTCTAGCAACATCCCTCAGTTTTGTTGTTATTTGTTTGTTTGTTTGTTTGTTTGTTTTGCTGTGCTTGGCATCAAACCTAGGGTCTCACACATGCTAGACAAGGGCTCTACCACTGAACTGCACCCCAGTCCCATCCCACACCCACAGAATTTTGACTTCATGTTTAATACCATTAAGATTCTGGCATCTCAGAATGTTACATTGGGCCTTCATGGTTGGCTTGTCCAAATCCATACTTTTTACTACTAGAGAACTGAGCCCTAATTCGCATTAAAGATTCCTTAGCTGTGACACCGAATACAGGACTCAGATTTTCTGCTTATAAATCTTTACCCGTTTCTAGGGTGCTAAGACCAGTTTTTAATGTGGGATAAAAGTCAACACCAATGAAGCAACTGCTTTTGCTGGGACAAAAGAACAGTCCTTCTTCCTCAGGAAAGGTCCAGCGTGTCCATACATCTATTCCCACAGGCTCCCAAGAATTGAGGGCCCTTATAGACCCAGCAACTGGGCAACAAATTCCTATGAATGATGCCAAATGGGTGTGTCTGCTTCCCACTCATGTCTGCATGGCTTTTTATACTTTCCTTCTTTGTCATCAAATAAAATTACAAATATAAAGTAAGTATATTTATATACATGTCCCTTTAGAGTAAGCAAACCTCATCATGATTTCAGGTGCTCCCACGAACAAAATAAAATAAAATTGCACTTGTGGCCTCTCAGATTAAAGACTGAGTTAAAATGAGGCTGTCCTTCCTGTAGGAATAGAGGCCACACAAGCTGATACAACTGGCCCATTGTGCCATCCTGGCACTTAGGTTCAACAGACTCATGGGAATGACTCYTTCACAAGACACCCATGAGGTAGGTCAATGCAGCCACCCCTGTGGGTGGATGTAGCACACAGAGGCCCTGGCTTAGGTTGTGGAGCAGAGGTCTGAAGGGGAGGACCTCTGGTGCTCACCATAGCACCCGCCATKGGTCATGAGAGAAGTCTCCAGTACGTAGCAAATATCTGCATCAGCAAGGGTGTGGAAATGGGAGGAAAAGAGAAGGGGCTGGTCTAAGGATGACACTTCTGAACAAACCTCCAGCGTAGAGTTGCCAGGGAGTCAGATCTAAAGGGTCGTGATTATGAACTGGGGAAAGCTGGCCCATCCCCCAGCCATGCAGGACCCTGAGTGGCCCTGCCTTCCTCACTCTCATCAGGTCAACGTATATTAGGTGGCAAGGACTTCCCTTTCAAGAGAACCACAGCTGATCCAGGTGGTGGCAGAAGGCACAGGAAGCTCTCCCCTGACTCTCCCTTCAGCCTGAGGGAAATGTCAGGACACAGAGACACAGGTGACAAAAACCGGGCTGCACGGGCCAGCAGTTCCTGAGAGTCAGACCCGATGCCATAAACTCAGGACAGAGCCGGGGCTTAGCATCCCTTTCCCTGAAATGAGAAGCCTCAGCCCTGCCCTTTTCTTGAGGGAGAAGGGCCTACTAAGGAGAGCTGGCTTCTCACTGAGGTAATGAAGAACACCTGCTCAGCTCCACGTCACCCTCAAGCTAAGCAGGACACATCCCTGCAGGAGGCATCGGAGAACAAAGGCCGAGGAGCTGTGCTCTGGGGACACATCACACGTTTTAAATTAAACATTTCCCCACGTGTAACACACACACACACACACACATACACACACACGCACACACACGCACGCACAAATACTGACATTCTCCCAGCCCACCCCACTCCAAGCCCCAGATCCCACCCCACAAATACTGTCCTCTGTAAACATGATGGCAGAGACGCCCACAATCCTGGCAAAGTCTGACAATGATCTGATGATGACGTCTTGTCCTTAAGTGCCCCGATAGGTGATATTGGTGAAGGTGGACGTGGCCTCTTTATACAGTGGGTTGTTGGCCTGTGGAGAGAAGAGGASAGTGAGTGTCTCACAGTCAGTTCCSGGGTCCTCTCATGTCCCAAAGGCTTCGATTTCACCTGAGAGGTTTGCCCAAGACACCCTTCTCTGGCCTAGACTGGATGAAACAGGCTAGKGCTCCTGTTACTCACACTTTCACTTTTAGAATGGGAATGGGCAGGAAAGGAGAGGAGGAAAGATGATGTGGCCACCTTGYGGCTGTTTTTAAAGGGTTAAAATCAGTCCAGCACTTTTTTTTTTTTTTTGGAGGCCCATCATTCTTTGACAATCCCARAACCTTCTAGAATAGCTTTCACCCAAATCTGTCCTGTTTTCTCCTCTCGCCCTACTCCTTCTTTGGTTTTTCTCCCCTTTTTCTTTCRCTGTGACAGTGCCAGCCAATGTGAGGCAGAGAGAGAAATGTAGTAGTTGATGGGTGAAGGTCAGAACACAGAGGACTGCTTCGGCTGAAATAATTCTTAATTCGTTTTCATCTCTTCAGTGATTACCTACAAAACTGTCATATTATCAGGGAAAAATAAGCCCCTCACTGGGTTTCTCAAATTATTTTCCAACAAAAAAATGACAAAACCCATGAAGTTAGGCAGTTCTTTCTCTTTTTTTTTTTCTTTTTTTCCCCCCTTTGGCATTAGAAAGTGAACCCAGAGACACCTTACAACTGAGCTACATCCCAGGCCTTTTTATTTCTTATTTTGAAACAGGGAGTCACTAAATTGTTGAGGGTCTCTCACTAAATTATTAAGGCTGGCCTTAAACTTGTGATCCTCCTGCTTCAGCCTCCCGATTGCTAGGATTATAAGTGCACACCACTGCACCTGGCTAAGYAGTTCTTAATGGTAACTGCAAAAAGCCCAGCACATTCTTCTGTCCTTTGGAGACTCAGCATGCTCTATATGCTCTTAACAGAAACATCCAAGGTTCTTGGAACTATTGGGTACAAAGTCCTGGGATCACCACCAAATGGGATCAAACTTTTGGCCTAACCCTGGACATTTAAGGAATCAAATGTCATGTAAAAGGTCCAGAAAATAGTTAAGATATGGAAGATGAACCAAAGGAGAATACAGTAAAATTAGTATATAAAAAGTTCTCAATAAATGCTTGTTTGATTGGCTTAAATCAAGATAAACAACAGGGACCAGAAAGAGTCTGATTTGGAAACTACCATTTCATCATTTGGGGGCAAAGAAGAGAATGAGGTAGATTGATGTCCTGCCACTATTCTTAAGTGGCTGACCCCAAAAGGAAGTCCTATAGTTACCTAATTCCCTCCCACAATCAGACAAGCACTGAACTCCCTCGCACTCAGTTCTCTTACTTATGAAATGGGAACACTAATACTCCCCACCACAAAGGTTGTTTCAGGGATGAAATAAGCTAATATATAAAAAAGCATTTAGAACAGTTCCTGGCACATGGCAAACCCTCAGTCAATGTTAGCTATTCTATTTTTTTCTATTTGTTTTTAATGCTTTGGACTTCAATACTATATAATGTATTATTGTTCTCAATATAGGTTTGTCTTGTCTCCCTCAATTGAAGAGTAAGCTTCTTTTCCATTTCTTTACACTGTTGGAGCAGAGCTGGGTCCTGTTTGTTCTATCAGTACTCAAGACGTGGCCCATGGTCACCGGGTGGTAGAGGATCCGGTAGTTTTCAGGAAGCTTAAAGACAACAGTGAGACCATCTCCCAGTTTCCAGAACAGAGGATAATCCGAAAACTGCAGTACTTACTGGATGACCCTGGCCACTCTGAACACCTGCTGTTCCCACTTCAGGTTCTCGAACCAAAGACTCAAGAAAATGCCCAGCCCAACCCAGCCTCTTACTGTGTCCCATTTTGCTCTGGCTCGTTCTTCCTCAAATTTAGCAAACTCTTTCCGGTCGTGGATGGTGATGAGAAGCTTCCAGATGAGCAGAGTAGCAAGGCCGATGAGCAGAATAGCCCCCATCACTGACAGCAGGACCACAAGGATGTCCGGACCCTTGGGACACTCTGCAAGGAAGAAGCAGAGAGCAGGAATCACTTGAACTGGCCATGAATGTAAGACCTTGAGTGTTATTTCAGAGGAACAATGCACTGGAAACGCCTCTGAAGGAAACAGGACAGTTTTAAAACAAATTCATTGTTTGTTTGTTTGTTTGTTTTTAAGGGAGCAATCTTTAGGGGGGGTAATAAGCTGTCCTGAGTGGTTTAAATCTGAGCTCTCAAGCTGCACAAAATCTAGACCACCTGATATGGGTTAACCAACTGTTTTTGTTTTTGTTTTTGTTTTTAATTGATTCTGCTGGGTTTGGTGGCACATACCTATATTCCCAGCAGAATCAGGAGGCTGAGGCAGGAGATTGTGAGTTCAAAGCCAGCCTCAGCAATTTAGCGAGGCCCTAAGCAACTCAGCAAGATCCTGTCTTTAAGTAAAATACAAAAAGGGCTGGGGATGTGGCTCAGTAGTTAAGTGCCCCTGAGTTCAATCCCTGGTACAAAAAAAAAAAAAAAAAAATCCATTTGGCCACTGTGGGTGTAGCCCAGTGGTAGAGTACTCCACAAGGCCCTGGATTCTATCCCCAGGCCCACACACAACAAAAAGAGAAAAAAAAAAAAGAATCAAAAGATTTGGAAACTCTAGAACAATATCCCTATGAAGTGGTCACCAACTACAGCTGAGAGCAGTTGCTCCTTTTACCTGGGACACAGTGTTTTTCCATTTGTGAGAGTCCTCACCACTCTCCCATTTCTTCCCTAAACAGAGGCAAAGTGTGACTTGTCCTTGTGGCTGTACCACTGTACACTCTGGATTTAAATCCAGGCTTAACACACTGTACGATGTGACATTCAGTAACTAATTTTTCTGGATGTCTGTTTTCTATTTTCTTTGTCTTTAAAATGGAGAAAGTATTCACATTCCCTTTTAGGGGTGGGTGGGTGGGGTGCTAGGGACTGAACCCAGAGCCTTGCACAAGGACAGGCAAGTGCTCTACCAATGAACTACACCCCAACCCTTCAAACTCAATTTTAAAAACTGCAAAGAGTAATAATTAAATGAAATATATTTAAAGAACTGAAAGCAATGCCTGGCTCACAATAAATAGTAGGGGGCCATTATTACCAGTGTTCTTCTGATACCCAGCRTTTTTATTTATTTGCTAACTGAGCCCCGGTAGACATTAGTGTCTGTTAATTGTGGTTTAGATATTTATATCCTTAAGGGCGATGAACCTTTTTAGCATGCTTAGAGACCAGGAAGCCTGCCAGCCACAGATAATCTTAAAGGTTCTTTCTCAAAATATTTAGTCATCCAGAATCCTACCCCATGGTAAGCTGACTTCCTGTTCAGCCCCAGTCAATAACCAAAGCAGACAGAGGTCCGTCATCCCTCTGAGGGTCAGCTGATTACCCTCTGCAGGTCACTGCTCCCATAAACTTCAGGTGTCTGACAAATGACCTCACTCTGGAACCTCAAGTGTTATGAAACCAGGTGTCTGTATGTATGGGTACTGATGAGTCTGGAGAGGAAGTCACACCCACTTTCCACACTGTCTCCCACCTTCTTCTCTAAACATACACTCGATGCTCACCACACATTACACAAACACAACCACTACCACAAACCAAGTTGGTCCTTTTCCAAACCACCAAGTTACACCCTATCTATAATTAAAGGAACTCCTGGAGAGAGGCTGCGAGGTTCCAGCGTCTGAATTCCCAGGAGTGAAGGGCCCCAGTTTTTCTGGGAAAAGCAATTATGAATTCTCTGGAAGAATGGAGTAGGGCTGACCTTCAAACCCCAAGGTGAAATCTCTTCCTCCTGCATGTTAGTCTGGGCAGGACGGGTAGAATCCCGGGAGGTATTCAGGTGAGAACAACCTGTTACTCATCTGTCCCAACAGGGGTATGTGGCTTCCCAGAAGCAGAAGACAAGATCAGGTGGTCTCTGAAAGGCACCTCCAGCTGCAGCAACAGCCCCAGATTGAGTGACCCAAGGTCAGAGGAGTCTGGGTCGGGTTGGCAGATTTAACAAACAAAATTCTAGGAAGCCCAGATAAATTTTATTTTCAGATAAACAAGGAGTTAGTTTTAAGGGCAAGTATGTACCAAACAGTGCCTGGAACGTACTGTATTTTATCTGGAAACTATCCGGGAATGAACAGGCCCCAGCTCAGGAGCCCATTCCACATGGCCGTTCCCCACATGGCCAATGCCTAGCCATGTGATATACTCCCTTTTACTGCCCTGCCAGGGCTCGGCCCTTCAAAGAGAGCATCTGAGAGGCCATGAGAAAGAGATATCTCCTACTATCCTCTGGGAACCCAGCTGCTACAACCTCCCCAAAGTTGGAGTCCCTAGAAATAATTGGGGCTGGGGCTAAGAGGAGAAGCAGAGCCAGGACAAACAGAGAGGAAATGAGGGGCCCATATTCTTTTTATTTTACTTAATTTTTGTTTTGCTCTTCTTAGATATACATGACAATAGCGTGTACTTTGACATATTATACTAGAGTCCCTTATCCTAACGTGGAGGAGTGGGTCTCCTGACAGGGCACCAACGTTACCATCATCTCTATTCCCCACAACCAGAGGCAGTAGATGGCAGTCTCAAAATCCCAAGCCAAATGATTTGGATAAATGATTCATCAAAAGTACCAGCAAAGACAAGGTGTAGCAAAGAGATGAGATAATGTTAGACCCCAAAGCAAAGACACAATGCCCTTCTGAAATTAGTAGGGACAAAATCGCAGCTAGGGTGGGTGGGATGGCGTGAGGAAATCGTGGTCAAACCAGTCCACCCCTGCTGGCTCCCGGACACACCCCCAGACTCTTCTCTCTCCTTCCTCATGTCAACTGCCCTTGAAGTCGCTAAATGAAATTAAGGTTAGGCCCTTTCTTGACCTTCCTTTTCCCACATAAAGGGCAAAAGCTCTGGGAAGGGCTAGCGGACGACATTCCAGACAGGGCACCAGGCATTCCTCCACCCATGGACATAGCAACGCCCTGGGAGACGTAGATGTGGCAGCGCTTTCCTAAGGAAGGGAGACCTGGGGTAGCTCCTCCAGACTTTCCTGCCTCCTTTTTCAAACCACCTCATTTTCTTCCCTCTCCAAGCAGCCAAAATTCTGGTTAGCAGATATCAAGATGCACATACACTCACTTTTCCTCTAGGAATAATCAGACCTAGACAATCATTCAGAACCTCTTTATTAACTAACTTCTTGGTAGATGTACAGGGATATAGCAATAGGTAAGACAGACATGGTTCGTGTATCCGCACAGCATAGGATCTGAGCAGAGGAGCTGATTAAAGAAGCAATTTAATTCTAAATGTGAAATGAAGGCCCTTCTAAGGAAGCACAGAAGAACCAAACCTGGTCAGCAGTATGGAGGAAAGGCTTCTTGGGGGAAGCGATGAGCCTAAAGCAAGAGGCACTCAAATGTTGGGGTGTAGCCCAATTGCCAGGAACACTAACAGCACAGAGGTGTGGTTTGTGGAAGTAAGACAGGGCTCAGGACTGTTCTTTGTTGCTGGGGATTGAACCCAAAGTCTCACACATGCTAGGTAAGTACTTTATCACTAAGTTATGACCCCAGCACTGGGTTGTTTTTTTTTTTTTAAACAGGAAAATATGCTAAAGTTTGAGAACCCCTGCTCGTGGGCCAAGGGCTAGCAAACGATATAGCCYATGAGCCAAATGCAACTATCAACTCTCTCTGTAAATACAGCCATGACCACTTCACAGAATAAATATGAATGGCCAATGAATACACAAAAAAATGTCCAACATCTCCAGCAATTAGAGAAATACAAATTAAAACTACACCAAGATTCCATCTCACTCCAGTCAGAATGACAACCATCAAGAATATAAGTAACAATAAGTGTTGGTGAGGATGTGGGGGAAACGTACATTCATACATTGCTGGTGGGATTGAAAATTGGTGCAACCGATAGGAAGGGCAGCAGAATACAATAGACACTAGTATGGCTGTATGTATAAACGTGGCTGTAAAACCCATGTGACACTGTAATCTGTACATGTGGAAAAATAAGAATTCATACTCCATTTGAATCAAATGTATGATATGTCAAGATCATTGTAATGTTTTGAGCAACTAATAAAAAAATTAAAAAAAAAAAGAAAGAAAATTGGTGCAACCACACTGGAAAGTATCCTCAGAAAACCTGGAATAGAACCACCATTAGACCCAGTTATCCCACTCGTCAGTACATACCCAAAGGACTTCAAAGCAACATACTACAGTGACACAGTCACATCAATGTTTATAGCAGCCCAATTCACAATACCTAACCTATTGAACCAACCTTCATGCCTTTCAACAGATGAGTGGATAAAGAAAATAGGGTATATATACACAATGGAATACTACTCAGCCATAAAAAAGAATGACTTTATGACTTTTGCCATAGATCTGGAGACTATCATGCTAAGTGTAACAAGCCAATCTCCAAAAACCAAAGGTCAAAAGTTCTCTCTGATATGTGGATGCTAATACACAACAGGGGGTGAAGAGAAGAATAGAATTTCATTGGATTAGACAAAGGGGAATGAAGGGAAGGGAGAGGGATAAGAATAGGAAAGACAGTAGAATGAATTAGACATAACTTTCCTATGTTCATATATGAATACACCACTAGTGAAACTTCATTCTTGTGGCACAACCACAAGAATGGGATCCTAATTAAAATAAATTATGTATTCTATGAATGTACAATATGTCAAAATACCCTCTACTATCATGTATATCTAAAAAGAACAAATAAAAAAATAAAAATATATAGCCATGGTCCACAAGTTTACAGAATATCTATGGCTGCTTTCCTGCTATAATAGCAGGGCTGAGTAGCCACAGCAGAGACCATATGGCCCTTGAAACCTAAAATATTTTGGTCTTTTGCAGAAAAAAAAAAATTCTGGTCCTTTGTCTAAAAGATGATTTGAAGAAATTCTTACAGCTATGAATGTCAGGATACCAACTGATTCAAGTTCAGCCTTCCAAGGTTGTTCCTTCGTTCTAGTGTGTGCCCACCCTCCACCATTAACAGTCCTATCCCACTGCAATGACGTTATTGATTTCCATGCCTGTCTCCCCCATGGCCTGCGAGCACCACATCTGCCTATTTACTGTTAGTTTCAGCACCTAGCCTAGTATCCAGTCTATAGTAAGTATTCCAAATTATTTTCTAATGATTCATATCTTAATCTGTTGTTTAAGGGCAAAGAAGGTATATGGTTTGGATATGCTTTGAGTGTGTCCCTGGAGCATTCATGTGCTAAAAGCTTGGTTCCCAACATGGTAATATTGAAGTGCTGGAACCTGTAAGAGATAGGTCAAAGTAATCAGGTCATGGGGAGCATTGCCCTTGCAAGGGATTAATGTAGTTCTCACTGGACCCCCATTAGTTCCCAGCCTGGGTGAGGGTATAGTTCAATGATAGAACACGGGCTTAGCACATGGCCCTGGGTTCAACAGTCAGCATTCACCATGTGGTGATGTAGCCAAGGGGGTCCTCGCCAGAGGATGAACTGATGAAACCACTGATCTTGGACTTCTAGCCTCCAAAACTGTGAACCAAATGAAACCTCTCCTCTTCATACATTTCTCAGCCTCGGGTATTTTCTTTATAACAGTAGAAAATGGATGAAGACAGAGGCCATGGTGGTGGTAAGGTGAAGCAAACAAATCTAACTGTTGGGTGGTAATCAACCTGTGGTTGGTCTGGTTATGGCGGGGTGGACTCCTCCTCCTTCCAAAGGGTCTTGAGAGCAAGCAGTATTTTTAATCTTTTCGGTGTTCAATGCAGCCTTGAGTCAGTGCCAGAAACCTATCACTACATCCTGCCATAACACGGTAGGATCAGTGCCTCCCACCGTCAGGCCTTCCTCTTATGGCAGCAGGCAGGGTACTCATTGCAGCTGTCCTCAGTAGAACTTATGCCATGTGCTAGAAAGTTCTAGAATCTAAATTCCTTATTTCTTGACCTTATTGCCTCCAAAATGCAATGATAGGACTGCAGATGTAGCTCAGTGATAGAACACTGGCCTAGCACGCCTGAGGCCCTGGGTTCCATCCCCAAAACTGAGGGGAAAAAATAGTCACGACATATTTTGTTCCTCGAGGACATCCAAACCCACCTTCTTCCTCTCCTGACCCACCTTCTTATCTTTCTGTCCCCTCAATTAGAAAGTCACTTCCTTGCTGATACTTATGTTTATATATCCCCTCACCAGGGTGATGAACTCTCACCTCGCTTTTAAAGCCAGGTTTAACCTGTTCAGTTTAAGAGGAGTGGTGGGTAGAAAGTCCTGCCTAAGATGGTTCTCTCTCCCGGCGGGTAAAGAAAGGACTTCAGGAGCCACTCACCTGGCTCTTCCACCACGTACAGGATGGACTTTCCACTCGAGTCTTCATAGTACTGGAACCTGACGACGCAATCCTCCTCATTCTTATAGGTACAGTTGACTGCGTCCTTGCCGGTGTCCTCTGGGGAAGGGAGAGGAGAATATGGAAGAATGAAAAACAAGTCATTCCTAGAAGATGACAGCTTTCAGGACCCCTGCCACAGGACTTCTAGAAGAACATGAGACAGGAAACCAACCCTGTGTCTGATATTAGGCAAGATGCCTAGGTTCAAGAGAGCTGGCACGCCTGGCAGTTGCCACTCACTGACCCTCACTGATGTATTTTGTCCCTCAAGGGCCCTTATTGGTTCTGATTCCTTCCTCTGGAAGGGACATGACATAATAACATTATACATTCTGATTCAAATCCTGGCTCCGCTTCCTACCAGCCGCGTGACCTTGGGTAAGTTATTTGACCTCACTCATTCTCTCTTTCTTCATCTATCTTTTAAAAGGGAGATGATCTCCCCACCTTACAGAGTTGGTGGAGACTTTTATGCATAAAATAAACAGACCTTAACACGCAGTAGGCATTTCCTCCCTTCTCTTTCTCTGCTTGCTCAATAATTCTCCATAGTTTGTTTACACAGCCCTTTTAGCTCTTCCATGTCTGTTTCTGATCTAGTGTGCCTCCCACAGTGTTGTCGTTTAACTCTCCAACCTGTTATTCTGTTGGTGACACTGCGGTTGCCCTCCACCAGTTGCACGACATCCTATACTGAGGAACCAGATGGGCAAAACTGATATACCATGAAATTAAGCAAATGTGCCAAGATTCCCACTGCAAATAAGTGATGGAGAGGGACCAGAACATGAATCTAAAAATACATCCAGTGGACCTGAAGTCAACAGGCCATCAGTACTGGTACCACCGCACAAGGGAAAGAGTAAACCTTTCAGGATTTGGTTCTCAATGCATTTCTCCCTTCTGTGGACAAGTTAATTTCCTTGAGACTCAGTTTGCTCATTCACAAAATAAAGGTAACAATAGTACTATCCTTCTACTTCATTAGGTTTGGAGAAAAATATGTAATGAATGAGTAGGAAAGATGCTTTTTTAAATTTTCATAAGTTTTAAAATTTATATAGGTAAGCATTTACCTTTATGATGATTTTGGTGACAAAGGAGGTAGGTAAAGAAATGCTTATCAACTAATGCCCACCTGGTCTAGATGATAAAAATACCTTGACACTTTAGCATACCCTTCCTCTGGGCTAATGATAGAAGTATAGCCCCCTCTAGAAGAAAACTCCCTCTTCAAACTCAATCCCCAAATCCCCAACCTCACCCCAGCCCACTTCTGATATTAATCAAATGGTTCAGAGATCTCACTCTTTTCCATAACACTCCCACCCAAAGCTGACTGCCTGGCCATCTCACAACGGATCTCACTAAAAACGAATTTCCTGCCTTTGTGGGAGATTGCTATCTTCAGAGAGACGGCATCTCCCTAGCACCACCCAGTGCCTCCCGGCCCAGATAACCCCCACATCAGCTGTGCTGACAGCAGCAAAGATCATCTTTAAAATCAAGATGAAGTAAAAGAAAAATAACTGCAGGCAAGAATTTTGCTCCCTGCTGTGTTCGTATTTCTGTCTTATCTCTGGGGAACTCCAGAAAGCCAGAAGAAGGGCTTCAGGATAAAGAGATTTGGGTAATGACCATGAGGGTGAAGGTTTTCCTCCAAACAAGCCTGAGTATTGCTTAACTTTTAATAAAGTGAACTAGCCTACTAGGCTAAGATGAGGTCCACCATAGGCAACCACTTCCCAAGTGTGTGCCTCAGGTTTTTTTATCTGCAAAGTAGAGTACATTATCTTTCTTTCTTTGGGGGTGGGGTGAAGTTAGGGTTGTCCAATTTATACACCCTTTACAAGTTAGGCACAGGTTTTTGCTGGGTCTGTGTGCTTCAGGAATCAGAAAGGGGCACTCTGGAGGGGTCAGAGGAGGTCTCTCAAGAAAGTTAGACTTCATTTCATGCCTGCTGTGCATCAGGCCTACATGACCAGTTCTTGAAGCAGGAATTACTCTTCCATGTTACAGATGGGAGTTGGGCAGGTTCTGAGATTGAAGTGAAAACATTCAGAACCCAGACGAGTGAGACTCTGAGGCCTGCTGGACTTACTAAGCTCTTTCACAGACTCGATCTCATCGCGGCAGTAACGGGTGCAGGTATTTTTCTCCTGTAGGATTCCCCGGTCAAACTTCTTACACTCCACACATTCCCTAAAGGAGAGAGGACACGGCGATTAAAGCAAGCTGAGGCATGTCCCAGTCCACCTCTGACCTCCACGTACCCAGAAAAACGACTCCTCAGTTTAAAAAATTTAATAACACAACACACACACACACACAACACACACACACACACACACACACACACTGTAAAATCATCCTAAGGCCCCAAATAGTCAAGTGTGGAGTTCAGGAGTAAAGGTGTCCTCCTCACCCACAGGCTCCTCATCCGCAGCCAGAGGTCCCCGGGTCCTTTATTAAACTTCATGTACCAACAAGAATATGTGAGCCCTACACACTTCTGGGAACTTTAAAGTCAAAACTTGTCACAAAACTGGGGGGCCCAGGACAAAATGAAATTATTGTTCAAAAATTACTAAGAACTGTGACAGCAGAACATGCAAAGGCCCTACTAAGCACGGGGCCCTGTATAGCTGCACAGTGCATGCCCATGACTCCAGCCCTGCTTAAAGTGGTAAGAAGACTGGCAGAGCTTCGGACTTGGGGCCTCCTCTGACCCACAAACAGGTGAAGTTTGGACTGGCGAGTTGCCCCTGTCGCACAGTGTCCTCCCCAACTCCAGCCTCCGCAACTCCTACAGAATCAGAACATCAGCACTGGAATGTTCCGGAGAATATCTGGCTTAGCCTTCCTTTCTGAATTTGGGAGTGTTCGAGATGCCACCCTAGGAGAGAGTTTGCTCCAACTGGAATCCAGCTAGTGCTACTTTGGCCCCTTGCCGTTGCCTCTACCTCCAACTCCCCATAGTTGTCATTGGAAAGAGGAGAGAAGCCATTTGACAGGAGCAAACTCTTCTTCCTAAAGCCTCAGTGAGTAAGAGGTAGAACTTTAAGACCTTCAGAGTTGAGGATTCTAGTCCAGGGGACCCTCTCCCCACTCCCCAGCCTCCCAACTCTCTCCAAATTGCCCACTCACTTTTTAAAGGTGCAGGCATCCGGGCAAGTGGGACATTTCTCACAAGTGTCCCCATAGGAGCCTGGCTGGATGCAGACGCAGCTGCCACATTCACACTTGCCCCGGCCACTGCACAGAAGCCCATTGCTGGACATGCAGGTGTCGGTACGCGTGGTGCAGTTGCAGTAGTAGCCAGTCCAGTCGGAGTCACACAGGCAGTCCCCACAGCTGCACTGGCCATGCCCTGAAAGCAGACAGCCCAAGAGGGTGGATCAGCTAGTGGCTGTCCCACTCCCGTGGCAGCCTGCCACACACTTCCATTCTGCTCTCCCAGCCAGACAGATAATAATCCCCCAGGTCAGCAGGGAACTGGCCCAATATCAGGGGAACCCTACTCCACAGGGACACACTCGGCTCTCCAGATGTTCCAAGGTGTGGAAGGTCTTGGTCTGAATCCCTGCAGGACAAAGGAGTCTCAGGAGCTGAGTTTCCCAAGCCTCCTACCTTCCTCTTGCCCTTGTATGAGGACAAGGCAGATCTTCAGCCTTGAGAACTGGCACAGCACTGAGCCATAGCTTGCACCCACAGAGAGTACCCAGGATCCTGGATGATGTGGCCTGAGACAGCAAAGTGACCCTCAGGCCCCAAACTCTCTCCCTTTGATCTGGCATAGGCTGCTCCTCTCTCCAACCAGACCTTTATCATCACTGTCTTCTCCCAGCTGGGTTAGACACCAACATAGGCTCTGATTTGAATGAGCTGGTCCCTCCCACTAACAACTCAGCCACAGATGTCCGTTATTCTGTTTCTCAAATCGGCTATGTGCCACCTTGCCAGGTGAGCAGCAGGGATCTGAGAGCACCTACCCAGGACAGGAAAACTTCAACACAGGGGCCATGGAGGACAGGAGATGCCCCAAGCACAGGGAAGGGAAGATACACAGAGTGCCCCAATACATGGGTGCATGGGGTGGGGCATCCAAGGGGCAGACAGAAGGTACCAAGAGCCCATAGAGTCGGCAATGGAGTTAAGTAAGCAGAAAGAACAGATGTAGCCTACCTCACAGCCTGCTGAGGTCCGGAGCTCTTAACTAAATCCTACGAATGCCGGAGAGAAAAGACAGCAGAGAAGAAAAGAAGATGAACCAAAAAAAGAGAGATTTTCCTAAGGACAGCAGTATGGACGATCATTAGCAATGACCTTGCATAGCCCAGAGGCCTTCACCAAGCCTCTGCTGGCTCATCTTCGTTCCTCCTCTGCCCTCAAAAGTTGCAGAAATATTCTCCACAATAAATTGTTTTTGAGTTGTCCACACAGTTCAACTGTCCCCAACATCACCAACACAACTTGTCCTTCTTATCCTGGTCCTCTTCTCAATTCAGAATATGGTGTCTTGGCAGTGAAGGAGGGAAGCCTTGGAAAGCATTTAGACAAAAGAACTGCCTCTGTGTTCCAAACCGACCAAGGAAGGAAGTATTTCCAGTAGGAACAAGCGCCAGAAATAACCACTACAAGGGTAATAAGGCCCAAGAACACCTGTTGAGCATTTAATATGGGTCAAGTTCTTCAGTATGTTATCCTATTCATTTCTTATAACCCTGTAGGACCAAGGAGGTTAAGTAACCTCTCCAAGGCCACACAACTTGTAAATAGTAGGAGCAGGGCTCATATTGAAATCACTCTGACTTTAGGTCCCAAGTACGTAGCCTCTGTGCAATATCATAAGTAATGACTTTCCCTTTTTATATTCATATAGTCTTTCTAGAAGACTGCTGTAACATACAGAGAAAGTGGCTTGAACAGTAAAGGATGGAGTCCAACTGGTTAAATTTGACCAGTTGACTCTGATAAGTGGATGCTGATCCATAATGGGGCGACATGGGAAAAATGGAGGAACTTTGATGGGGCAAAATGGAGGGCAGGGTGGGGAAGGGACATGGGGGTGGGAAAGATGGTGGAATGAGATGGACATCATTACCCTACGTGCATGTATGACTGCACATATGGTGCRACTCTATATCTTGTACGACCACAGAAACGTAAAGTTGTGCTGCAATTGTGTACAATGAATTAAGATGCATTCTGCTGTCTTATACACCTAAATAAAACAAATTTTTTAAAAATTCTACCAGTGGAGGAAGAACAGACAAGTCCAGTAACTGGGCTTGACACCAGTGAGAAAATTCTAGATGAGACCATTTTAGGAATTCACATTTACTGAACTATTTGAGTGGATGTCACAAGAAGGGAGTTTCTCACTGCTGTGTTTATGGGCCTCGTTGAAGATGTTTCCATCCCCGGTTCCTAGCGTGGTCCCATCCCTAGGTAACTCTAATCATCTCCCTCTCCGGGTCATCCTCAATTCAATCCACCCTTCCTCTATAACCATGATTCTCCTTCTTTAAAGCATCGTTTCTCAAACTTGGTGCTTTTTGTTTTGAGGGACTGTCCTGTACCTTGTACAATGTTTAGCATCCTTGGACTTACAAAGGCTCCATCCTGCCTAAAGGATTAAGTCCAACTTTTTAGCAAACACCCATGACTTTGACAGTGAGCACCACATCCTTCGTCCACCGGACCTTTCCACACATTAGCCAACACACAGAGATACTCATTTTCTCCACTATCCTCATTTCCTTGGGTTTCTGTTCAGGCTGTTCCCTCTTCCTAGCTGCTCTTTCACCCTGTGACCTTTACCAAACTCCCCCTCACTCTCAAAGGCCCAACTCAAATCTTTACTCACTCAACAACTTTTTTCTGATCTCCTCAGACAGAATCAACCGTCTGCTCCTGGGCTCTCCCAGCAAATCTACCTCTATTTCTATCCTTATTTTATGCCCATTTGCTTTCCTGTTTCTTTCTAAATGGTGAGCTCCTTGATGGGAGGGAATAGGCCAGATTAATTTTTCTAGTAACAGTGATTATCATGAAATCTGTTACAGAGCAGGCACACCATTGATGTTTGTTCACTTATCCATTCATTTATTCAATAAATAGTCATCAAGTTCATACCACATGGTGGGCACTGGAGATTCAGAAGTGAATAAAGCCAACTCCCTTCTATCATGGAGCTTACAACGTAGCCAAATTTCTGGAAAACCCATGCATATCAACCAAGAGATGCTCTGTGTTATATTATTACAGTATTGCAAAGAGCTCTCAGCCCTGGTGGGGAGAATTATTGTCCTCTCTACTGAGGGTAGGAATGGGAGGGAGCCTGGGGTCAGGGGTCAGTCTGCTTGAAGGCAATCATTAACTCAGAATCATTAATTGCATCCCCCTGATTGTCATTTCACAAGACTTTAAAAGTTGGCTCCTAAACCCCACATAAGGTGACTCATTTTCCAGAATTCTCAATCAGGAAGAAGCGTAATAAAAATCCGATTGTTAATCAGAGGAAAGGCAGGGGCAAAGGGGAAGTAACTTGAACTGCTCTGGAAGCCACATCACTGTGTGAGTAGGTGGCCCCAAGGAGTTGGAGGAGGGATGGTACTGGGCCTGAGCTAGCTGGCACCAATTCTTCCAGTGAACCCAGGGGGTGCAACCAGTATCTCTTGGCCTCTGTGGGTCCCTTTGCCCATGACCCCAGCACCACCCTCTAGAAACCACATCAGCATTCAAGATTCAAACACACCAAAAATAAATAAATGCATAAAGAAATAAAATACGACTCAGCCACCTCTTTGCAGCCTTGGAAATAAAGGTGTGTTTCCCGGGAAGGATGGATGGGGAACATAAGCCCCCCTCTGGCCAGCTGCCAAGTATATCTGGAGGTGTGGGCTGGCAGAAGGGGAAAGCAGACAGCCTCTGAGTCTTGAGGTTGGGTTCCCTAGAAGGACAGCGGGTGGTGAAGATTCTTGTTCAAGCAACTCACTGAGGGAGTGGAGGGGAGGCAGGATGTAGTCTAGGGCAAGAGGCAAAAGCCAGCAGATATATGGTCTCAGACAGAGACTGCCTTCAGCCTGAGCCCACTGTGAGCTCTGGAGCATGAATGGCACCACACAGCCAGGCCCACCTTGAGGCAAAGGGACTGGCCTTGCCCAAGGCCTGAGGGCAAGGCAGTTCCTGTGGGTCCAGGGCAAGGCTATGGAGAAAGGACAGCTGTGGGCTATCATCACAGCAGCTACCTCACAGCAGCTGGGGGAGGGGTGTGACAGCCAGCAGAGCGAGGCCCCATAGCGTCCACTATGCCTTGCTTTTGACCATGGCTCCTGGACTGGGGAAAGACTGACACCACGGTGGCTTGGCCGTACTCAGAGGCCTCGGCCTCCTCAGAAACCCTGGTCCCACAGTGTTTCCTTTGTGAGGCAAAACAAAGTGATCTTTGACAAGATGAGGTGCAGGGCCAGCCAGGGAGGGAGGCTGGGAGTGGAAGTGGGCAGTCAGAGCCAGCCAGTGGGCTGACCCCAAGCCCTGGCAGAGTCAGCCCTTAAAAGGCAACCACAGTGTGGTCATGTCAACAGGATGGGCACCCCTCCAACAGACAGACCAGCCAGGGTTCACAGGAGAGTCAGAGGAGGGAGACAGATGGGAAATGAGTGGAAGAGAGGGAGGTGGGGGAGAAGGAAGAGAGCAGGGGGGCAGGAAGGAGCAAGTGTCTCAGGTCAGAGGGAATGTGATCACTCTCCCTGCGTAGCTGGACTTCCGGCTGACTCACTGCTCCACTCCGGTATGACCCAACCTTCCTTTGAGACTTAGCACACGTCCCACCTCCTCCATGAAACTGCCCAGGCCTCCCCTATCCACGGGGAGTCTCCCCAGGGTGGAGTCCTATAGGGGTAGATTCCCGTAAGACTCCCCCAGGACAACTGACCTCTGCCAGATTCTGCCTCATGCTGTGAACTACGAAGCACAAAGCTCTTATTAACACCTCTCTACCCTGCACCAGGGCAGCACAAAACCTGCTCGTGGAGGGTGCCTGATAGATCCGAGCTCATAATGTAGGAAAAGAACCTTGAGGGCTGGGGCTGTGACTCAGTGGGTCCTTGCCTGGCATGTGGAAGGCTCTGGGTTCAATCCCCAACACCAAAAAAAAAAAAAAAAAAAAAGAACCTGGAGGGAAAGGACGCACTCCCCGATGTGTAAGGCAGAGGTGCTGAAAGTGGGCAACTCCGCAGACCATGCCTATGGTAGGGAGGGAGCAGGCCAGGAAACCAGCTGCCATGATCAGTGGCCAGGCACTAGGAAAATGGCCAGGTCACATCAGTCCTGCCTCATGAGCCCCTGCTTGTAGCAAAGAACAGGCCACAGAGCCAACAGCTCAGGTAAGGGACAAGGACAAGCTGGAGTATAGCTCTGAGAGGTCAGGAATCATGCCTGACCCCTATTCACCCGTGTGGACCAAGTGCTGAGACACAGAGCAGGTGCAGGATGAACATGTGCCCCTGAGTCCTGTCACTAAGGATGTGATGACAGCACGGCAGGGTCCAGATGTGAGGCTGGCCAGGCACCTGACACCCTGGCAAGAAGTGGTAGAGGGAGGCTGCTGAGGCCACCTGGGGTTCCCTGACGGATTAGGCCGCACTGCCCGGAGCTGTTCTTGCATCCACTTTGGCAGGAACCAGGGCTTCTGACCCACGCAGCTTTCTTTTGTGGCTTCCATGGGGCCATCAGCCAAAGGAAACACACTCTGACTGGAATCCCTCTCACAGCGCCTCACACCAGACCAGGACCCAGAAGAGTAGCGGGCGGGTGTGCCCCTAGCAGGCCCTCTGCAGGCCTCTCCTGCACCAAACCCCCGGCTCTCAGTTCCAACCTTCTCCCCTTGGATCTCCCACCCCAAACTTGCCCATTTCCTTTGGTATTTTAAAAAATGATGTAAGTACTATTAAATAGTAAAATGAGCTGAGGTTCCTGCCTCACCCCCTAGTTTAAATGGCCATTATGGCAGGTGCGATGGCGCACGCCTATAATCCCAGTGGCTCAGGAGGCTGAGACAGGAGGACCACGAGTTCAAAGCAGCCTCAGCAAAAGCTAAGCAATTCAGTGAGATCCTGTCTCTAAATAAAATACAAAATAGGGCTGGGGATGTGGCTCAGTGGCCAAGTTCTTCTGAGTTCAATTCCTGGTACCCCCTAAAAAATTTTGCCATAATGTGTTTTCATTTTGTGTACCTGATCTCTCTCTCCACAGGCCCCCCAATCTCTCTAATGTTGGTATCATTTTCCTCCAAGCCCTCTCTCAGATTTTATTGCCATAGTAGGGGAAATATTGTTTCAACTTTAGTCAGAAAGGCAATTATCAAGAATACATATAATACCGTGTTGGTAAGGATGTAGGGGGAAAAGGAACACTCATATACTGTTGATAGGACTGCATATTAGTGCCACCACTCTGGAAAGCAGTATGGAGATACCTCAAAAAACTAGGAATGGAACCACCATATGACCCAGCTATCCCACTCCTTGGTATATGCCTAAAAGATCTAAAATTAGCACATTATAGGGATRCRGCCACATCAATGTTATAGCAGCACAATTCACAACAGCTAAGCTATGGAACCAACCTAGGTACCCGTCAATAGTCAATAGATGAATGGATTTTAAAAAGATGTGGTGTACATACAAAATGGAGTATTAGTCATAAAGAAGAATGAACTTATAGCATTTCCTGGAAAATGGACAGACCTGAAGAACATTGTGCTAAGTGAAATAAGCCAGACCCAGAATGTTTTCTCTGATATGCAGAAGCTGTTCCAAAATAAGCAGGGAGTTGGGGGGCAAAAGAAAAGGAAAGGGTTCCATAAAAATAGAAGAAAGATCAGTGGAGTAGAGGAAGGAGATTGAGACAGAGGGAGAAGGGATAGGATAAGCAAAGAACAGGGGAATGAATCCCATCTAAATTTCCTATGTACATATATGAATACGCCTCAGTGAATCTCACCATTATGTATCTCCACAAGGCACTAATTTAAAAAAATAAACTATAGTTAAATAGCAGAAGCATCAGTACAATAGAAGAAAAACCATGGGAAAAGGAGGGGAGAACGGCGGACTGAATTAGGGCAAATTATAATCCATGCTTTTATAATTATGCCAAAATGAAACCTAATCTGATATATAACTAAAAAGAACCAATAGATAAATAAAAAAGAAAAGGAGTCTTTTTTATGTTTCTAGGGCATGTGAAGAATGGCACAGATTATTCTTTCTAATCAGGCTTTTTTAAGGGCCAATGTTAATGTTAAATTGAGCATCTGTGTCAATTAGTTCAGCTGGTTAAACTCCAATGCAGATGAAGCCAGTCTGGGTCATGGATCATCACAGGAAGCAACTATAATCCCTATGTTCAACTGGCCATAAAAACATACTCATAAACTAGTTCCAGCCAATTTGAAAATGTCTGCAGTTTGTCCATTGCAAAAAAGGATTAAATCAAGATAAAAATCCATCTCCAGAGCTCAAGGAAAAACTCAGACTGCTCMTTTGCCGTCTGAAAGTGTTGTCAGCATATCTACAAATAAAGTTTAACTTCTAGCTGGACAAGCACCCCATGAGTGGTCTTTAAGGCAATGAGAAACAGTTTGAGATTATTCGCAGGCCTCAAGATTTTAATGAATTTTGTAGTGAGGACAGTTCAGCAGGTAGAAGGACTCAAAATGATAAACTCCATATTTGTACCCAGGAACTCTCCTATGGTGACCCTRTCCAGTAGAACTTTCTGCCCTGTTGAAATGTTTTATATCTATGGAGTCAAATACAATCACCACTAGCCTACTGACAAAAGAACTAAATACATTTTCAGACTCAGTTAATTTGAATGGCCTAGTGTAGCTAGTGGCTACCATACTGAACAGTGTAGATCTGGCATCAAAAAATTAATAGTAAAGGGCTGGGGCTGGGGCTGGGGCTCAGGGTAGCGCACTTGCCTGGCACATGTGAGGCACTGGGTTYGATTCTCAGCAACACATATAAATAAATAAATAAAGGTCTATCAACAACTAAAAAAAAATTTTTTTTAAAGTAATAGTAAGGAAACAAAAAACAAAAGCAACAACACTGGTAACAAAACTGGTCTGATATTTAACAAGAAAGAGCATACTATCTTCCAGATATTGTCCTAAGTATATTAGTTCATTAAATATGCTACAATGTCTTGCATATACAGTACTATTTTCCATTTTGGAATACTCGGTGATTTGGGGGGAGAGGGGGCGGGCAGGAAAAAAGTGTTAGTCCTTATACTCAAAAAGATTAGGACCTTAAAATATTTCCAGAGTAGGCAGAGGAAAGAAAAGAACAGAAATATATATATCTTTACCTTGAAGTTCCTCCACTTTCCTACCCTATTCCAGGAAGGAGAGAAACCCTAGAAGCAGAGGATGGTTTAGGTTTCTTGTATTCTACAAGGAAGGGAAAGATGAATTTGCCTCTCTTCCTCCTGGGTTCTTTGGCCATTGGGGTGGAAGACCACCATCTGCGCAGCTCTGCCCGCCCTGGCCTGTCTTGGGAGCCACCAGCGCGTGTGCAAGTTTGGCCATGCTGCTTCGTGGGCACGTTGCGGGGCCGGCCTTCAACTCACCTGAGCACATCTCCCCCTTGTAGCGGACACAGGAGAAATCATCGCATTCGCAGTACTTGCCGGTGATCTTGCCAAAGTCACTGCTGTGACAGACACACTGGCCACAGAGGCACTCGCCCCTCTGGCTGCAGATGGGCTGTCCCTCCTTGGGGCTGCACTCATCCTGCTGAGACGGGCGGTAGTCCTCTTCCGAGCACTCGCAGTGGGACCCCAGCCAACCAGGCCCACAGCGGCATACCCCACACTCGAAGGTCCCATTGCCATTGTTGCAGCGGCGGCTGTAAGGCTGGGCTTGGGCCTGGCAGGTGCAGTCGCAATCGAAGGTGACCTGCACGGTGAGGCTGTCCTTGAAGCCCACGGGTTTGATGGTGAAGGACTTCTCCTTCTCCTGGGGGCAGCCTCGAACCTTGGCCTCAATGCTGAAGCTCACCTGGATGGAAAGCCAGACCGGATTCAGATATAAGTATCACAGTTAACACTCAAGCCCCGGAAGAGAAGAAGTGTGTGTGTGTGTGTGTGTGTGTGTGTGTGTGTGTGTGCGCGCGCGCTGCCAAGGAGTACCCAGATTGGGTGTCTAATCCTCCTGTGATCTGGAGTTCCTCAGCCTTCCCATCACCAACGTCCCGCAAAGCAAAACCAAGAACACAGGGTAGTTGCGCCATTGTGACATATCTGGCTAAACACAGTCACATAATATCAGCAAGGCACACAAAGCACAATTTTGCAGCACACAGTATCACAGAGTTGTCAATCATAAGCTGAAGATCTACTATTCAATTTTCACATGACATTTCATAACTGGCCAAAATTTCTTACATGGGGTATGTGCACATGTGCCTAGAAAACCCATTGATAGAAAGATCAATATATAGATCTATAGAAAGATGGGTAGATCAAAAGATCTATTTCCTTCTCTTCCTTCTTCCCCTCCCCTTGGACAGAAGCAAAGGAGAACCACCAATAAGGAAAAATATGGAGGGGCAGAATGAACATCTGCCTCCTCAAATTCCATGAGGGCAGGAATTTTTCCTGTTCCATTTGCTGTTAAACCTTCAGCAGCTAGAACAATGCCTGGCACATAGTTAGGCACATAAAAATTCATAGACGATATTATCATGTTACATTGTAGAGAAAAGAAAGGCATTACCTCGGAGGAATCTGGAAGTTGGATAGAGTTTGAAGGTAAAGAAATATTTTTGATTTGCAATCAAATGTGCATATACAGACGGACGTAACCAAAATGGAAGTTCTTGGAAACCCTGGCAGGGAAGTTCACTTAGCAGATAAAGAAAGCTTAGGTGACAGAGACTTCAGAGGAAAAGCTTGGCAGCTCCAGCACATCTCATTTGTAATAACCTTCAGGAAGAAGGTACCGGAAGGGAAGGGGCTAGGATGCCCACAGACACTCCAGGGCACAGGCCAGGGTCAGAGCTGCATCTTCAGCCTTGCCCAGCCCACCTCACCGTATCTCCAATCTTGAGTCCCACACAAGACTTGAGGCCTGGGATGACCTCATTGTTGAGGCAGGTGGCATTGAAGGATAGAGACARCTCCTCAGGGAGGTCACGCACTTCCAGCTCTACTTTAGAGCGGATTTTCTGAGCASAAAAGAACAAACGAAATGAGCTGAAAGGAAATGGGAAAGAGCCAATTTCAYCCCAAGCAAAATTTACTGGGTGGCCTTGAACTTACCCTGGCAGTGCCAGGTGCTGAGGTTAGTGCGACAGCTACTGGAGCATCCTAGGAGCCTATTTCCTGCTCTATTTCCTGCCCAGGAATCTCCTCCCTCTTTCTGTCCCCACTTGTGTCCAGATAAATCTGGGTAAAATCTAAACCAGCCACACCCTTCTGCAGGCCTCMAAGGCATACAATAGAGAAATGTCAAAATGGGTCACCTTGGGTAGTAGCACTTTTCTRCCTAATTTTGCTTTCCATTACTGGAGATTGAACCCAAGGTCTTGCACATGCTAGGCAAGTGCTCTAACACTAAGCTATACCCCCAGTCATTTTTTATTTTAATTGAGACAGAGTCTCCCTAAGTTGTCCAGGCTGACCCCACACTGCCTTGGCCTCCCAAATATCTGGAATTATAGGCATGTGCTACTGTGCCCAGCCTCTATCTGATTTTTTTGTCACTCTTACCCTGCCCATGTTTCAGATCCCTCTTTTCTCTGTTGTTGGACCTAAGCYGTGCCCCACTCAGCACCCCACAATTGCTTCTCCATCTAGTCCCCCTCACTATCCCCTTCCACCTTCTTTTAGCTCTMTACTCCTTGTCCCCACTCCTCCCTGCCTCTCTCAGAGACTGCATCCCTCCCAGGTTGGTCATCCCCTGGTCTCTGGGAGCACAAGAGGAAGGCAGTTTGGTTTCATGGTGGACTGGCAGCCAGGACTCCCAAATCTGAGTCCTGCTGCATAGCAAGCCAAATCAAGTGGCCACGTGGCAGGTCGTTCCCAGCACAAGATACTTACCCCGTAAGCATCCACAATGAGCTGGAGRACATTGCTCGAATCAGTGGACAGAACCCCCACTGTGGTCCCTGGGATGAGCTCACTATAGTTCTAGAAAGAAAGGTAAAGATATCCAGAGTTTACTGAAGCAAAGGAGGGATCTCCTAAAGCACCCCCACCCCCAAATCAGACTGATTTTTGAAATGAAAAATTGAAGAAAAGTATAGGATATTTCATTTGTCACTTCCAGGAATATATCTAGCAATTTTTAAGGCCTGAGCAAAATTATCGGAAATCCTCCTACTCCTCACCTCATTGATTTGCCTCCCCTCCATCAGATCAAACATTAACACACCCTAATAGGTTGGAGGTTGGAGGGGAAAGGCCACAGAGAGGAATCTTAAGCTTCTGAGGAGTGGTTTGAAGAAAGATCTTTCCTTATTGGGTCCCCTGTTGACAGTACCATAGGCTAGCTCCCAATAACAGGACCGTCCATCACAGGGTCCGCTCCACAGAGCCCCAGAGGCATAGTTACCTGGTAGAGATTGACTACATTTTCAGTCACTGCAAAGATCAAATTGATGTTTTTCTCAGATAGTTTCTCAGTCATCAGCCCCAGAGAGGGATAATCCTGGAAAGGGGGAAGGACATGGAGGTTAATGAAGATGTCTCACATACTCAATGGATTCTATGCCTTTGAAYGTGGCTGACTTAGGCTGTGACCAAGACTTTTTTACTCCACAGGCAAAGARAGATGCTACTGTGTTTGGATATGGTTTGAGTATGTCCCTCGAGATTTCATGTGTTGAAATTTGATTCCATCGTGAGGTATTAATAAGGTGGAAACTTAATCCAACTGTGTGTGGTGTTTAGAGGTAGGTAAGGGCCTTTGGGAGAAAACGAGGATTAGATAAGGTCATTAGGGGTGGAGCCCCCCATGATTAAATCCTGGTGGCTTTATAAGAAGAGAAAGATCAGAAGAGACACATACATACTTGTGCTCTCTGACCCTTGAGATATGACTCTCTGCACTGCTCRGGACTCTGCCAGCAGGAAGACCATCCCCAGATATGGCAACTCCAGAACCACTTAGCCTAAATAAACCTCTTTGCTTTATGATTTACTAATATATAAGCAAGAAAGATAAAGTAGCAGCACAAACCTAGCTGTGAGCTCCGGAGTTCAATGAAGGTGACAGGCTGGTGACATCAAAGCTAAGCACCTCTTTTCTTCTTACTCAAACTTAATGCAGCAAAACCATAAACTAACTCCCTGGGGTCRGCCCTGGGATAGGCCTGATCTTGGAGCAATGGACAAACACCTTCACCTGGCTCTCATGATCCTCCACCATGTGGTCTCAGCCTTTCTTTCTACACATTGCACACCTCCAATCCACTTCCACTCAGGCTTGACCTGGGCCACGCTTCCTTCCACCTGGAATGGCCTTCTTTTTAGTAACCCACCTCCTTCCTTAGGAACTAGCTCGAGGCCCACCTTTTCCAGGAGGCCTTCCTTGACCATCCCAGCTCTTGATGAGCTTTTTTTCCTTTGGATACCGGTAGCCTTTATTGACTACGCCACCCATTTTGCATTCATCATGCATTTTGTGTTATTAATAAATATATATGTCCTTGCCTTTCAACTAAACCAAAAACTACTAAGAGTAGGATCTTGGGATAGTTTTTATGTCCCTCAGCTCCAGTTTCCTGCATAGAGTAGTGTCAAAGGTGGCTGACTCGCCCATTGCCTAGTGGTACTTGACTTGGATATGGCTGACACCAAGGAACTCCAGCCACACTGGTGAGGGGGTGAAGTGTGAATATATCCATGGGCTCCTACACCCTGTAGGGAGCTCATGAGATCATCCTGTTCAGTCTCCTGCCTTTACACAGGGGTATACCTGTAAGCTACCTGATAAGACAGTTGCTCATTAATAAATTTAGAGATGAAGAAGTATCAGGATTCTGAGCATCAGCATATTTATCTTATGGCTTACAATGATTTCTCCTGTTTCAATTTAAACACGTTTCCTCTTATTTAATGAATTGTGCATAGTTAATTACTAAGATATTTTTTTTTAAAGTATAAGAAGACTTCTTGCATATCAGCTCAGTCATCCACAGCCCTTCTTTTCTTCAAGCTAATGACTTTAAGCCCTTTAATGTTTCCTTATAGGACTAGCTCTCTGTGTTTTTGATTTTTTTTTTTTTGTCTCTTTTTCCTCTGTCTTCTCCCAATAACCCCAAATGAACATGGTTTCCAAAATGGGGGCTCATCTGCACAGAGCAGGAGGGGAAGACCTGTTTTCCAGCTAGGCCCATGAGAGTCCTTTGGACACATTCTGGATGCCATGGTGCTGCTGCTGGTGCTGATGACAGGGGAAGCAGTGGGAACGCTGACCCAGTCAAGGCTCTGCAATGGTTGCGCAGGCTGTACTTTGGAGGGGGATGTCCAGCTGACAGGAGGCAGGAGCTGGGGAACTGCTCACTGCCCAGAAGAAGGGCTGTCATTTTCCTATTCACACAAGGACTCTGCCTGGGTTAGGGCAGCCATAATAGATAGGGACCATGGGTGGTGCCAGGCATCTCACCATGGTAGTGGAGGCAGAGTAATGGTTGTCAGTGCCAACATGACACTGCCCATCATTGGGCTGGACAATGCCTGCCAGCCTTCCATCCAGTGCTATGTGGGTCTTGGCATCAGTGGTAAAAACCAGCAAATGGGATGCATCATTCCTCCAGCCAATTTTTTCCTGTTAAAAAAAAAAAAACAGGTAAAAGAGCAAAGCAACTTCAGCCATATCATTGATAGAGAACCAAGATCTAAGGACCTCCCTGCCTGAAGGACTGGACAAGTCATCTTGGAGAAGGACCTCAACCCTATCCCTTGGAATCCAAATTAGAGTTTCCTAATTCAGAAATTTCTTAGGAAAATAAATAATTTCATAACTGATTAATTCAAACAGCCAAATGACTCCCTCTTCAACTCCAAACATAACTCTTCCACTGATAGTCATGTTACCCACCTACAGCTGGGCTGGGCTAGAAGAAATTCCATCTGAACATCTACCCACATTGCTGAGGTTAAGTTAACTCAGCCTACATTTTGAAAGAATACCAGAGAAGGTAAGATGTTCTCCCCAGAAAACAACTGGGACCAGTGAGGTTCAAAGAGTTCTCTCTTCTGGTCAAGGAGTAAATATAAGCAGGAACTGCATACCAGGAGCAACTTATTACTCATACTGTGCAAAGTTCAGCCTAGTTCTTATCTCAGATTGCACCAGAAATCCCCAGGGTGAGCCACTTCCCCACTTTGATCTGTGCCAACCACGCTTGGCACCCAAACCCTCCAAACTCACATCACAAACTGTAGCCTGCATGATGGCATCAAAGCCACCCTCTGGGGCATCTCGGTTCCGTGACACACTCTGCTTCTTCACTTCCTCATTGAAGCGGGTTACCTGGTCTGTTAGTGTCAACACGTGTTTGTAGCCAAACATAGGCAAACAGGCATTCTTCATACTGAGAAGGAACAAGAGATAACGTAAGCAGACACCCTGAAGGAAAAAGGCGGCAAGAAATTGGAAGGGAAAGAGAATGGGACAAATATGGACTGTGGTATGCCCAGGCCAGTTTCACACAATCACAATTGCCCAGACAGATCAGATGCCAACTCTCTCATTTCAACCTCATCTTCAGCTAGCCTCGAAGAAAAGACAGTGAGCTGTGAAACCAGACTGCCTGAGTTCAAATCCCAGCTTCTCCACTTACTAGTCATGTGAACGTCAACATACCCCTCTAATCCTAACCCAGGAAACCAGGGACATGATAGCACGTATCTCATAAGAGCTGTTGTGAAGAGTAAGCAAGTAAGAATTTAGGCCAGAGTAAGGCTTGAGTTGTTGTTGCTGTGACCTTATAATCAACATTTCTCTATAGTAATACTACAGCAAAAGTCCATCACAAAAGAAAATTCCTAAACAATCAATAAGTTGATATATCATGTCCAGACAGGAACATTACTGTCCCCAGACTAATAGTTTGCTTGTTTAATTAATAGATGATGTCTTTCCTGTAAAAAATACAACCCAGACAGAAGGTTAAAAGTGATAACAGTCCAGCACAGTGGCACACACCTGTAATCTTATCAGCTCAGGACGCTGAGGCAGGAGGATTGCAGGTTCAAAGTCAGCCTCAGCAACTTAGGGAGGCCCTGAACAACTTAGCAAGACCCCGTCTCAAAATATAAAATAAAAAGGGATAGGTGTGTGGCTCAGTGCCCCTGGGTTCAATCCTTGGTATGGGGTAGGGGTGGAGAAACTTTATCATAAAACTTTGAAAACTAAAAAGCAAATTCACACCTTGTCAAGCACAGAGTAACCATCATTTTTAATTACCATAATACATGGATTTGCATAGTATTCACCAATTAAATAAGTCATCCCGCCATAAATTCAAGTGTGAAACCAGGGCTGGGGTGCTCAGTGATAGAGTGCTTACCTAGCATGTACAAGACCTTAGATTCAATCCCCACCACCACACACACACACACACACACACAAAAAAAAAAAACCTATTCATCAATTTATACCTTACTAAAGGGTTCAATATCTCTAGGATTTAATTTCTTGCATTTTAATCCTATAGAATCCATGCCCTCGATGACAACAATAAAAGCAAGCCTTCAGAAAGCATAACTCCTCTGCTTACTTATCCACGAATTTCCCTCTGCTTTGGACCTCACTGCTTTCCCATTCTCTTTCCTCCTATATATTTGTGGCAAAGACCAAGAAGTTGATGAATTTTCTTTCTAGGTCCCCAACTAGCCTTGGACTCTATTGGCACAATCCTCCAGATCCACAGGCTAGCCCGTGTGTCAGATGGGAAAACTAAAGTAGAAAGGAGCTATGGGTTGGCCAGAAGGCAGCCGACAAAGCAACCCTAGAGCTAGAAATGGGAACCAGGACTTGGACCTGCCTGGGACAAAGGGGGAGGGGTGCTTCCCTGGTTTCTGGAGGAGAGACTTACTCATAACAGGGGTTTTTGAGGGCTTCTGGTGGGGAGATGTACATGTATGGTGACACAGGCTTGTCCACAAAGGCCCCGAAACCAATCCGCAGGTTACTGGTGAGCTTGCGCATTTGGGAGGCCAGCTTGGTACCCAGGTTCTGGATACTCCACAGATCATCTTTCATGGAGTAAGACAGGTCCATTAGGTAGTAGATGTCTACAGGATAATCCTCCACCTGCCGCACTTGGATGGAGAAATTCTTCGAGTCATCTGGAAGCCATAAAGATATTAGTTTATCTCCTTTTCTTCCTCCAAGATTGAATAAGTAATCAAGCCACCGCTGGGGAAAAGTAATTGCTTCATCAACCAAACTTGAAAGCCCTGGTTCCTTCTCTCTTGTTTTACAATTATGTTCCTTTTTCAAACTCTTGACCCTCCTGTTTTTAAGTGTATGATTTTTCACCCTCTTAAAATTCTCATCTGTCTAATCCTTTGGATTCCAAGAGTCTATCATCCTGAGTCACAGGAGTTTGAGTGATTACCACACTCCAGAGTGTGTAAAAGACAGGAACTTTGTCCTACTCTTCTCTGAATCCATAGCACCTGACACATGCCTAGCACATAGTAAGTCTCTCTTAAATTCTTTATATATAGATACAGATATAGATAGATTTTTTTTTTTAGTTGCTGATGGGCCTTTATTTATTTTATTTTATATGTGACGCTGAGAATCGAACCCAGTGCCTCACACATGCTAGGCAAGTGCTCTACCATTGAGCCACAACCCCAGCCCTCTCTTAAATTCTTATTAATTTAATCAGAAAGTCAAAGTCAGTGCTTTCAAAAAGCCTGTCTCCTAGCCTTATCCTCCTTCCTTCTGAAGGTCTTTTGTCCATACTTTGTCTGTCCCATTCCTGTCTCTCTGCCCATGGAAAAGGGCCTCCTCCCAAATTGCTTTCTCATTCTTCATCTCAGTCACACCTCAGCAGGGAATCACACGCTATGCAAAATGGGCACTGGGGAGAACAAATGCTTTTTGAGCACCTGATAGGTCAGAAAAGTTAAGTAACTTGCTCAAGGCTAAGTTCCTAATAGGTGGTAGAGTTGAGATTCTGCCGCAGTCTGGCTGGGCACAAATCACGAGCCACTGAAGCAGGAACAAACTTTATTTTTTTTACTGCAAGAAAAAACCTCACACACGCTCCTGGGGAATCCTCCAGAAAAACCACGAGGCTCCTGCAGGAACCCTCAGCCGGAAAATATCTCCCCGGGAAATCCCTCCTCCTGCACTTCGCCAACCAATGGGAACTCCCGGGGAATCCCCGTGAGAACTAAAAATAGCGCTAGAACTCAAAAGTAGCGGCAGAGGCGGATATTAACGCCTTGCCTGTCAATCAATACTGTTGGCAAAATGCCAGGGGCCATATAGACTGGCTGTGGCTCTCAGCAAGATTCAAACTCAGATCTGCTGACTGAAACCCTAATACTTCCCATTGTCTTCCATTCTCCTACTTGGATCTTCCCTCACATGCTTCTCTTCCCACTCCATTCTGAGATACTCCCCCAAGATTTCCTGCTCAGACCTCCACCTCAGGCCTTATGCCCACCTGTCCCAGGTTTCTTCTCAAAAATAAGCCCCATGCCTACCTGGCCGTAGCCGGAGGGCAATCCTCTGGGGACTGACTTGAGTAACCTGGGAGCCATCTCCGGAACCCTTGTCACTGAGAGGTCTGGCCTCCAGGACTTGAGCCTCACTGACAGGAAACTCGATGGCCTCGGGGGCACAGTTATCCTTCAGCAGATTCTCCTTCAGGTTACAGCGGGGTGAGCCCGGAGGCAGGTCCTGTAAGATAGAAGCCCAAGAGGAAGCCCTATAAGTCAGAGCTATGATGACTTAGACCTTATCCCATACTTTGGAGCTAAAACAGCATAAATGAACCAGCAAGGTCTTTCTTGGGATAGTCCCTAGGACCTAAATCAGCATAAATGAACTGGTATGGTCCTTCCTAGGATAATCAGAAGGGAAACTGAGACATCAGAAGGGCTGTTCATGGATTGGTAGCCAAGAAGCAAGCCAACAGATGACTTTGGACCAGCATTTTCCTGACTATAAAATACAACTCATTTGTGGGTCTCAAAATCAATGTAGTAAGTGGATCTCAATCATCATCTCATTAAATAAGATGCAATAGAATAAAATAAGAAAAACAAAAGTATATAAATTGTAAAAGTGTTATTTCATGAAACTTTTACTTCTTAGGAAATGAGTTATAACAACTATAACAAATAATAATATGAAATGTATTTCTTTCTGTAGGTAAAGATCAAAACCATTTGGAAGTTGGGAGACCATGAAAGCAGGGCTGTGTGTGTCCTGTTCCCTCTCTGTTCCCAACATGCAACCCAGGACTAACAACAAAGGTGGGGAGGTAGTGAAGCATAAAGGACAACAGCCCAGGAGTAGGCTGGCTGAGACTAAACCTCAGCATTGCTACTTACTAACTGGTTACTAGAGGGAGTCACCTAAACTCTCCCAGTCTAGTTTCCTCAACTGTAACACAAATAGCCCTTTCTTGGTACATAGGGCAGTCAAAACCCTGGAGAGTAGAATGGTGGCTGCCAGGAGCTAGGGTGGAGTGGCTATGGGAAGTTGCTGTTAGATGAGTACAGAGTTTCTGTTTTTTCTTGACAAAAAGAATTATGGAGTTGCTAGGAACTCAGGGGTAGCTCAGCGGTAGAGCGCTCGCCTAATATATGCAAGGCACTGGGTTCGATCCTCAGCACCACATAAAAATAAATAAAATAAAGGTATTGTGTTCAACTACAAACAAGAAAAATTTTTTTTTTAGTTTTTGGCGGACACAACATCTTTGTTTGTATGTGGTGCTGAGGATCGAACCCGGGCCGCACGCATGCCAGGCGAGCGCGCTACTGCTTGAGCCACTTCCCCAGACCAAGAAAAATATTTTTTTAAAAAAATTATGGAGATGGATGATGGTGACAATTTCACAATATCGTGAATATATGTAATACCATGGAACTGTACACTTGAAATGGTTAAGATGGTAAATCCTGTTATGTGCATTTTACCACAATAAAAATTACTTTTTAGAACAAATAATGAAAATAGTAGTCATTTCTTCCTCAAAGGGATGTCACCTGGGACTAAATAAGACGATGCATGCAGTAAGTGCTCCGTAAGTGTCAGCTACTATTATGAGATGCTTCATTAATTATTCCTGGATAAATTAATTATAAATAAAATCCATACATTTGGGAAATAGTATAATGCCAGTCTGCTGACCAGATCCTGTCCTATCACCTTCCTCCTTCAACCTGGACAAAGAATAAATTAAACCCCTTCCAGAAACCCACATTTGTATCTCGTTGCCCTGTAGGACCCTGGGTGCATTTACACCTAAGTATTGAATGGAGGACACGCTATACTAGAAAGACCACCAAAAACCAGGAAGCAGGCTCCGTCTTAGGTCTACCACGAGTTGACCATGAGACCTCAGATAAGTCACTTTGAGCCCCAGTTTCCTCACCTAACCCAACAGAGAAGGTAGACAATTTTTCAGTCCCTTTAGCCAGCACTGTGTGGGCATATGTCCATGAAGTCTCCTTGCCAGCTCAAAGGGACCTACCAGAAAACTAGTAAACCCATCACTGTGTGATAATAGCCCTTCTGGAAAAGACAGAAGGCAACATGGCACCATCAGTATCCATGTGCACCTGCACAACTCTGTTGCAACCCTATAGTATAGAACACCCAACCCAAAAGTACGAATGATACCATACAGGGGAGACAAAGGGGCTAACATGCAAAGGGAAAATTAACAGGATCTATAAGGCCCTGTTGCATTCGGGGCTCAGACTTTGGAATCAAATTTGGATTCAAATCTGCTGGGCCAGTGCCAGCACTAATAAATCCTGCTCCCTGGATGAAAATCTTGATGTCCCTTCTCTCTATAAGAATCCAACAACCTGGACCTATTTCACAATGTATAGGCCTTCTGGGTCTCCTACCTACCCCTCACAACCACTTCTAAAAATCAGGTGGATACCCCATACCAATATCCCAGAAGAGCTTGCGTTAATGTTAAGGTAGCTGGCGCTAATATCCACAAGAGACACAGCTCTGAGTTCAAGCAACAGTTTGTTGACGGAGAATATCTGCCAGGCTGCCCTTCTGTAAGGCACAGCAGCCAGTCACTTGAATGGAGGTTTATATAACTTTTTTAAACATGGAATAAGAGCAAGCTAGAATTGACCTTGGGTGCAAGTGGTTGGGTAACAATAGATTTTTCTATTCAGGGACCCTTGGAAGGGAGAAAGGTTATGGGAACAGGGTATCTTAATTTATTTTTCTTGGCAGCTGGTAAGTTTCAGTTTCAGGTTAAGATGGAGTCCTAGAACCAAAATGGAGTTACTAATGTCTAGAGACCAAGCAGTTAACATTTATTGAGCACTTACGCAGGTACTATGATGAGCACTTTACATAGATTATTGCGATCCCCCTGACGATTCTGTAATGCTGGAACTATTATATACAATTTCACAAATGAGGAACCTGCGACCTGGAGGCTTCACAAATGAGGAACCCAATCTTACAAGTAAGAAATCCAAAGTTGCAGAGTTAGGAAGGGGCACAACTGAGTTGCCAACTAGATTGTCTAGTTATCTTCATAAAACATATTTTATTTAATTCTGTATAGAATGGGGATCAAGGCAGAGCAGTAGGGGTGTGGAAGAGATGGTCCTAGGAGGAGCCACACCAGAGAATGCCCCAGGTAGGGAGCAGGATGCAAAACAGGGATGTGTGAGATATAGGGAAGAATGGGTCATGTCCTTCCTCCTTGGTCTGCTCATGAGATCTGGTGGCCATATACCAGGAGTGGAATTGAGCCTCAGCAAACCACCATGCTCAAGAGTCAGCAGCCCAAACCTCCCGATGCTCAAAGTCCCTGTCCCTCTACCTCTCCAACCCAACCATTCAGATGGGCTGAAAACCCATCTGTGAAACCTGTGAAAACCTCTCTCCCAACCCTTCTCTCTCAGGAAATAGTCTCTTTCTTACAAAAACAAAACACACACACACACACACACACACACATACACACAAAAAAACACCCTACCCTTATTTCTGATTGCAGCTCCCCACAAAGCCCTGAGAAAACCTTCCCCAAAAGGCAATGATTGGATCACCAAGATACCAAGGAAGCTGATCCCTTCCAGGACAAGGCAGATGCTGGAGGAGAGATCTGGGGGTGGGGAGAGCAGAGAACTGAATGAGAACTGCAAGCCATCAAATGTCGTCAAGCTGCTTCAAGTGAAGGAAGAGAATGTTCTTGAGGGAGGTTCTCTTACTCCCGTTTTCTACGATGKCGGTCCTAATTAGAAGAGGATCTCAAATGCAAAGACATGGTGAGGTCCTTAAAATTTAGTATGAATTTCCTTAGAAAAATAAACACGGGAAAACAAAAAATGGTTTCCTACCCTCCCGCCCCTTGACATCAGAGGCCTGCTCATCGACCCAGCTCTCCCTGAGAGTCTCCTGTCCCTGGAGGACACCAGAGCAGTGACCTCAACACCCTTGAGCAACATTCCCGTCCTGAATATCCAGGCAGAGATGGTAGAAGGGATGTCTCCAGGTTACTTGGAGAGAAGACTAGAAAGAAGGCAGATATGAAAGTTGCAGTTTCCAGTGAAACCAAATTTTATACAAAAAAGGGCAAAAATGGACAGGACCCAGGGAAGATGCTGAGCACTGAGGTGGGAGGTGTGGCCCCATGTGCTCTGTGAGCTGGTGAATTACCTTCCTTTCCTGGGAAGGTGACACATGCTTTTGGTACTATTCCCCATTAATCCTGTTTTGGAAATTGGGAAAGTACAGCATGAATAATTATTATGCTGTATATCACACAGGATTTGGTCAGGGGATAAAATAATTTTGTGAGGTTGAAAGGCTTTCAGAATACAAATACCTCAGTATAAGTCAAATACTCTCAAATCCTTTGGATATGGTTTAAACAAATAAAATTGAATAGAAGGTGACTCTTTTCTACAATTTCCATTGTAACTACTACTGTTTTTGCATATTCTCCTTAGAGAAAAGCAAGGGGCAACATGCCCTAATTCTTTCCTTCACTCCAGGGAACTACAAAAACATCTCCAATCCAAATAAATTAACACTGCCATCTTGACTGGTTCATCTGGCAAAAACAAGAAATCACTTGAACATGCAGAGATGTACAGAGAGAAGAAAAAGAAGGAGAGGGGAAGGAAGACATTGAACTTTATAGTTGTGGGTATTCATACTTCCTTGTTTACAAGGAAAGAACTCTTAATTTTATCCCGTCATTGTTGATGTTTTTTATAATAACAAGTTGAAGCAAAACTCTCAAGATGGACATTTATCCTCCAGGTTAAAAATAAGCAGAAAGAAAGAACAGCAAAGAAGTGAGAACAAAATTGTGTTTGTAACTAAAAAGAACCATAAAGAGTGGCCCATGCCTTTCCACAGCTGAAGAGAGGATAATAAGAAGGAAGTCCTACTGGAGTCTTCTATTTTTCTAGACCCAAACCTAACCTTCTTCTCTCACCCCTGGATGTCAGATTAAAAGGGAGCTGGTCCACCTCCCAGCATGCACTCAGGCCTACATACCAAGCGCTAGTATTTCCTCCTGTAAAGTCCTTGCTTTAAGATGGATGGCCATCTTAAGTGACAGCCGCCATTTTAAGAAAAATTTTGCTTTCCCGCCCAAGGGCCTTTCTGAGAAAACTCACCACTCCCTCATACCAACTCCACCCTTAACCTCTTGGCTCTAATCCCTGAGCCTACTCCATAAAAGCCCCAACCCCAAGCCTGTTTTGCCTCTCTCCATCTATGGAGAGATGGCCTTTATTTGACAACACTGACAAATAAACTCTCACTCTCATGTGTATCTCTGCCTGGTCTCCGTCTTTCATTTGTCACTCGCCCATCTCCTGGTTCCTCGCTTTCCTTTCACCTCCACTTAGGGTTGCCAAATTTAGCAGATAGTTGGGACATACTAATACTAACAATTATTTGGTGTTTAATCCATATTTAATTGGGTGTTCTGTATTTGACTGGAAACCTCAATTCTGCCTCCATTCTCCTTGATCAACAATCAGTTCTTCTGATGAGCAATGTTTGTCCAACTTGCTACCATGACAACCCATTCTGGTGCAATAGGTCCAGGGTCCATCCCACAAACCTTTATTTTTAACAAACACCTCAGGCAATTTTCACCACCAGGTGAGTTTGGAAAGGTGTAGGCATTGGCATGGTGCCACTGGGACCAAAATGACAAGATGAATTTCTGCATGAAGCTTGCCTTTTGCTAGATGCACCACTAGGGAGAGCACACCACCCCAACCCCAACCCTCCAAGAACACACGCTATGCAGATGGGCCCAAAACACCACGCTCAAGCACGTTGGCTATGTTTTCCTATTACCCAGCCAAGCACTCGCTACACACCCAAGAGCTGCTGTCCTCTAAGGACCAAGGGAAAGCAGAGCCCAACCAGTTGTTTTTCCAGGCACTGCCAGCATAGCCCAGAACAGTCAAGGCATGGGGCGCAGAAGCACCAAGCTACACCCTCAGCCCCATCTTTGGCTGTGCAGGGGACAGCCAGGCAAGGGTTAAAGTCTTGGATTCCCATCTCTTTCCTCCCTGGCTGACACATTTTTGCATCACACTGGGGTCCTCCACCCTTTGCTGTAGTCATTCACTAAAGCTCTGTGCTCCTCTGCTTCCATTTATATTCCATCCTCATTAGTTTTCTCCATTCTTAGCTGTTCCCATTTCCTATTCCTGGGCTGGCCTAACCTCATACTTTGATCCTACCCTGCACACACCCCTTCCCCTGCCCCTGACTTCACCCAGCCTGCCTCAGAGGTCACCATGGTCACCCATAAATATTCCATATTTGCATCTCTGAAATCTGGTCCCATGTTCTGAAGGCGGCACCTGGTCAGACCTCAACCCTGGGAAGATCAAGAAGAGTGAAAAATGGGAAGAAAAGGGGTACGGGACAGACTTTCCAAGAATGTTTCCTTTTTTTTTTTCCCCTAGACTTTCTGGGGCAGAGCTGCCCACCTTTTCTTCCGTGTTGGACTGAAAAGGAGGGAAGGAGGAGGAGGAAATGAGGGACACTAGGGCTTCTACCCCAGTCCTTCTCTGCTCTACCAGTTCTAGGCCATCCAACCCAAACCAGACACCTCTCTCTGCATTAGCTCCCACTTTCTTATTAAAAAAGCTTCATGCATGATGGTAACCGGAGGAAGGAGGAGAGGGCAGATGAGAGGGGAAGAAGCCACCTCAACACTTGAGCAGCCAGTTCTGCCCAGAGGGGAGGGGCACCTGAGGGGGTGGAGGAGAAGGACTCACCCTCCCCACACACCTCCCACTCCCAGCCCCAGGGAATGTTTCATTTACTAAATGAAGTCAATGTGGCCCAGATGTTGGGCAGCTGCCTCGGGAAGCAGTTCCCGTGCCTGACGGAAGAGAGGCCAAAGCAGCATGTTGAGCTGGCCTCTGGGCTCTGGCAGCCTCCTCTTGGGGATAAACACAGCCTCCCAGCTCCCCTCCCCCGCAGCCTGCACGGGGAGGTTGCCTTTTTAGGAAAATCAGTGAATCAGGAAGAGAAGTAGACAGGGGGAATGAAAGGCCCAGTTAAAAGCAATCTTAAAACTGTAGAGGGCAGGGACATGCCGAGTGACAGAGGATGCCTCCCTCTGGTAGCTGAGTAGCAGCCAGGCCAGGAGCTCAGGTAACCACCTGCCAGTGGCCAGTGACTCAGCCTCAGACTCTGTCATGGCTGGGAATCTCTCCAGCCAGGTCTACCTCTCCCCACCCCCAGCCTAGCCTGCTCCAAATTCCCAAGCCAGCCACAAACATAGCATTTGCTCAGACACACTCATTCCCTAGGGCCCCAGACACAACAAACCCTCCTCATAGACACAGCTAACCCTTTCCCATCACCCTCCCATCCTCACCAATGGGCCCAGCTCCTTCTCTCATGGACACCTAGGAGAGGGAAGAAAGGAGGGAAAGAAGAAAAAGAGACCATCAGAGAGGGGAAGAAGAGGAAAGAGCCTCCAACCAAATGCCCCACACAGGAGCAAGATTCCTCTTCCATTTGCCTTTGTGAAGTTCTAGAAGAAAGAAAACAGCTACCCCTCCATATCTATACCCCTTCTGTCTCTCCTTTGGGACTTGAGGCCCCTCTTTCCTGGAATATCCCACCCCAACAAAAGGCAAGCAAAGGTGGTAAAAGGTAGCAATGGTTACAACCAAGCTAGAGGCTCAGCTGAACTGGCTGGGTGGGGGCTTCCCAGAGACTCTGGGTGGCACTCCCAGCGACTCTGGGTGGCACTCCCAGCCATGTTCCTGTAGTGGCTCTTCAACATCCATCAGTGGGAAGGCTTCACCCCAGTCTTGCTCAGAAGGGTCTTGCTATGCATTGAGGAGAAAGGAGATAACCTAAGGAGTCTGTGTCTATGTCAGGGAAAACAAGGTACAGTGTCTATTCCTCACCTCATCAGAGCACCAAGCACACACAGGACTCACAGCCAGACATTGCTGGCAGGAGCTCACACCTCTTGTGGCGCAGATGTTGGGCCCTGCAACACAGAGATAAGGGCATTAGTACCTGATTTGGCTCAATGAAGTAAGCAGCCTGCCCTATCCTCCCCAACTTTCCCAAATACCCAGGTTCATAGACCTCAAGTGCACACACCTTAATCATTTCACAGGTTTTTACCAAACAGGCTATTGATAAGGAAGAAAGAGAATAAAGACTTAGGAGAAACTCATCTCCACCCTCAGCTGATGAGGTCACAGGGATAACAAGTGACGGGATGTGGCTGAGACATGGGCCCAAGTGTCTGATCACAACGGACGGAAAGGCTTTCATGAACAACTGGCTTGATGCCTACGTGGTGTAAATGAAAATACAAGGGCTCCATCCTCGGCACCATATAAAATAAATAAATAAATAAACAAAGTGGCAAGTGTCCTCTTCAATTGCCCAAGTGATATTCCCAGCCACAACACATCCCAGAGGCACTAACATTGAGCATAGCCTAAGTATGGTGGGAACAGGGAGGGCAGGGTGACTTTAGTGGCAGTGTCCCATTGGCCTGCTAGAGGAAAGCAAATCTGAAAACTTCTTAAGCTTCCTGTGAGGATGGCCCTAGGCCTCAGCCTAAGCAACTCCATTTTAAAAACTCCAGTTTGAAACCTGCAGTCTCCCCAGGCACACCCACAGAGCCCTCCAGTATGGCCTCAAACAAGTGACTTCCCCTCGCCCTGATAACAGAGTGAAGCCCCTGGCAGGCTGTCTTCGCCTGGTAAGAAGAAAAGGTGAGAAGATCAGGGTAGAGACCACCAGACCAGATGTTTCTGACCCCAGGGTAAAGGATGTCACTGAGAAATCCAGTGGTAGCTGATAAGGATTGTAAAGGGGGTCAAAAACCCCCCAAATTTAGTATAAATGATAGAACAAATGAGCAGGGATTCAGCCAGCTGAAACAAGGAGCTGGAGAGCCTGATGAGAACCTGACATCCCATCTCTTGTCATCATTCCTGAGCCTCTGCGTGATCCTCACCGCTTTTAAACTCTACCACCTCGTCTGGACCTTGGTGAGAGCTGCAACTTCTCCGTATGACCCTCTCCTCAACGGGTCATCCACTCCACACCAGGAAAAGCCTGCCTTGGTTCTGGACCTGGTCACTGTGGTCTGAGTGAGTGTGCATCTGCTGGCATAAAGCTTAAGGCTTAAGACTTTTTTTTTTTAGCATGCAAAGGAGATGTCTGTCATTAGCTTATCATGATTAAGTGTATTTTGCAGTGCTTAGAATTAATCTAGAATTGTTTGCTGTGATTTGATTATGTCTATTGCAGTGCCTAGCATTAAGGATGGTCATTTTCTTGATTAAGAACCTATAGAGTGAAACCATATTGAGTAATTTGAGTGAATAAAGCATTGAAAAGGGCAGAAGCGCGTGGTCATTCTTTAGTTCTCCCCTCAACTGCATACGTCACAATTTTGCCCCCTCACGACACTTCCCATATACACGTATTTTGGAATCCAAGCATGAAATGCTCCAGAGAACTATAGAAATGTCAAGAAAAAATCAACATGTCGGAACTGGAAGATCATGGAATTGGGGCATTGGAAGTAAGGCCTATGCTTGAATTCCAAATGTTCTTTGTACTATAGCTTTGGGCAACCTGCCTATTCTCTACAAAATGATATATCTGCCTCACAGGATTTGTCTAAGAATTTGATGAGCCAAGGGGTACCCGAAAAGATACCATTCTAGTGTGAACAGTCCTCAGACTGACAAAGGACAGGGGAAAGCCTGGGGATGGGGGTGAGGAGTGGGGACAGCCAGGAGCACGAAAATATCCCTGAGAAACCCAGCCAGGAAGCAAAACCCAGGCATCTGCTTGTGCAGAAGCTGCCATGCTCCCTGCTCCTCAGCTCAGCCTCCCTGGCCTCAGCCAACTAAACCCCTCTTCTTGCGGGGACTCCAGGGAGGCCTTTTCCAGTATAAGACACAGAATGAGGAAGGCCCATTCCTCCCTAGATCAAAGAAAGATCCATTCAGTTATCCTGACCATTTCATTATCCAGGTTTCTAAAGGGCCTTCTTTGCCCCCAGCTGTAAAGACCAGCAAGTCTGTGTTTTGGGGAAATTGTCCCCAGTGAGTACTTTTCCATTATCCCCAAAACTTCTCACCAGACAAAATGTCCCAATCTATTTTATTATAGTGTGACTGAGTTCCTTTCATCCCAACACCTGGACAAAAAGACATTCAGAAAATGACCTGCTGAGGTTAAGGATATTTGATTTTCTACCTTTTGTGTGATTTATTTTCTACCTTTTGTTTGATTTCTATTGATTGGGACACTTTACAACTCTGTGAGAGTAGCGGGTATCCAATGACAATGAAAATGATTTTTTATGAGAAACGGCCTGTATGATTCTTATCCAACAAAAATGCAAATAATTTCTGTCTAGTAGAAAAGGTAACCTTCAAACATTAGGATTTACAGCTTTGTAGGGCTGGGTTTGTAGCTCAATGGTACAGCGCTTGCCTAGCATGTGTGAGGCACTGGGCTCCATCCTCAGCACCATATAAAATAAATAAATAAAACAAAGGTATTGTGTCCATTTACAACTTAAAAAAATTTTTTTTAAAGATTTACTGCTTTGTAAACAGTGGCCAATTCTGAATCTATGAGCCATAATTCATTCCCACCTTTCTTTGACTGACCAAGTATTAATCTCTCTTCCTTGAATTTTCATTTCAAATAGTCCTAATATTTTACTGGTTCTCTCTTTAATTAAGCTAAATAAATCTTTGACATGCATTTACTTTCTATTTATATTAGAATTATATATTTAACTCTTTGAAATTTACACTAATCATGCTTACCATGTGCAAGACCCTGGGTTCAATCCCAACATAGAGAGAAGAAGAAAATTATACTTTATCAGTATTTGTAGGGCCTCACTAGGGGCAAAGGGATTTAACAGAAGGGTGCATGGGCCATCAGAAGACTGTGATCCTGAGTTACCTGCTAATAGTGTGGCCTTAGGTGAGTCATTTAACTCCTCTCAGCCTTATTTTTCTCAACTCTAGTATTACTACCACATTATTATTATTATTTTTCTCATCTTAATGACACTGCCACCCAACATATTTAGGTTCCCTTCAGGCCTGCCCTAGCCTGCCCAGACAGGACCCAGTCCATGTTCAAAGATGTTCAGTAAATATATATAAAGGTATTACACCACATCAGTTTTATTTGTTTTGTTTTTAAGCAAATGAATTCATTTCTCAAAATTACTCATAGAATTCTAAATGGGTCCCTCATTCAATTTAGACCTTCACTGTTCTCCACAAAATGTGGAATCCTTGAAGTAACTCCTAGAAACTCCAGGTTTCTTCATAACCTGAGTCTAACTAACTTCAAGGGCCTTTCTTAATCCTAAAATTCAACAAGAGGGATGCTGGTATAAGCCCATGAGTAACTTCTAGAGCTCTATCTCTGCTTGACTACAATCTTAGCATGTATACCTCGGACTGTGGATGGAAATTATGGCATGGGTTCCGGGCCTGGCCCTAAAACATCAAGGTCACCTCTAAGGTGGGGTATCCCTCAGCCAGACAAAAAGCTGTAATGGAAAAAAGGAAACTAATCTTCCCAGAGCCATAGTCAGGATATCTCAATCTTCAGAACCAACAAGGCAACCCAAGGCTTCTCCCTGCCAGGGGCTGCCTGGCCATGTCTGGGCCTCCCAGTTGCTCTCTCCCTGGGCAGATGTGGACATAGCCCCTCTTTATTGTTCTATCAGAAGAGTTCAGAAAGGAGCCTCGCCTGAACTATTTTAGGTATCTCTCTTCCTTTTGGGAATTGCCATGAGGACTGGCATCCAAGAAATAATTCTGGATATAAATGCTGAGGAGGTTCCCGAGGAGAAACCCAAAGCAACTGCAGAGAGTCGAAAGGCAGAAGAGAAGCGTGGGCAGCCTGGGAAGCGTGGGCACTATCAGACTGTTTTTGAAAACTTTTCCCAGTCTGTCCATGTATCCAGCCATTCATTCTCAAGTTAGCATTTCCCTATGAGTCCTTGATTCATAGCCACAAAAGAAAGCCTTGCCAGATGTGAAATACAAAACAGCAGGCCCCTCCTAGTGTATGAGTCGTCCCTGACCCCAGATGAGGAGCTGAGCTGCTGGGATTTGGTCTTTAGGAAGTCATGCCTTGGAGTCATGGTTACCCACTCCCCTTTATCCCTTGTTTTTAAATGAATCACAGGTTGATTTCATGAGAACCAATGATCCTTCCATGATCTCCCCAACCAAGTCCTGCCACTTAGGGCAGGTTCCTGGAATGCAGTGGTTCAAAGTGACTGACTCACATCAGAAGTCTCCAAGCTGGGCCCATGCTGATTCAAGGAGCTGCTGCTCCGAGAACAGCCTGCCAAACTGAACAATGAGCAAGGAGTCTGAACCTACGTTTTCAGTCATTCATAAAAGCCTGTGTTCCTGCTCAGCCTCTGGGGCCCAGACATGGCCCTCCGAGAGAAGTGGGGATCTTCATCACAATGTCATTGAAAAGGATGGACAACTGCAACAGCCTCTTTCCTCTGACAGTTTAGCCAGAGCAGGAAAACAGCTGGACTGGGCCTGGTCTTCACGAGATAGTTGTAAGAATTAAAAGAACCTGGAACATAGCTGAGCATAACAGCTGGCACACAGAAAATGCTCAATAAATGCTGTTGCCATTGTTTTTATTGTTGCTGTTTTTATTCTTAGTCTCAAGCTATTCAGGGCAAATGAATGTTTTTATTTTTTCCTTGAAGATGTTATTTTATAGAACACTAGACACAAAGCCAAGTACACCCCAAACAGAGGGGGCAGGGGTGAGAACGTGGAGCAGAAAGTATCAGGCTCGGGTCAAATGACCAACTATCAGATCTGGCTTCTACGTGGAGTTAGGAATATCAGCATTCAAAAATCCAATCTAGGAGAGACGGCCAAGAAAAGAAGGCCAATAGAAAAGGTAGGCAAGGCCAGCCAAGATGTTTGCCTGGAAAGTAGAAGT